CTGCCCCCCCCCCCCCACTATACCGGTGGAGGGGAAGGAGCATTCGCTGAAAGGGAAGTAAAGGTTTACTATGCGTACCCGATACGTCCATGTAGCGCAGCCCTGCTCTCTTGATTTTCTTGCAAAAGGCGAGCACCCATTGATCAACGCGGTCACCTGACAAGCAGCCAGATTGGAGGGAGTAGTTCCATTTTCACAAAAATTGACTTGGGAAAGTGGACTTTAACAATTGCAAGGTTTAAAAAGATGTCTATTAAACAAAATGATTAACATTGGATTTGCTGGCTGGTCTGTCACAAAGCTTGGGTACTACAGTGGTTCTGTAAGAAACCCTTTTCACTGTGACAGAACCAAGGCACCCAATAAAAGTAGATCTAACTCCAATCACTAAAATCTCACAGAAGCTTTAACAAGTTGATGTGATTTCAAAAGCTGATTTCAATATTTTTAAATCTTAGTTTTTATTAAAAAAAAGCATCTGTTGATCCTGCCATGAAGGTCCTTCTTTATGGACTTCTAGTTATGGAGTGACAGTTGTCTCTAAATTGTGCTGCTGCGTTTGTCACCCTGTCACATGGGCTCCTGGTGGAGACAACAAGTGGCCATGCACAGGCATGGTCCACCACTGTAACGATTAGGAAGGGGGTCCACAGCAATGATGCTATCAAACATTACAGCCAAACAGGTGAAATGTCTATTTCCTGGATCAAAATAGAAAGCTGTATGCGCTCCCTATATACCCTATCTGCCTATTGCTTATTCACAGGACAGTAAATTAGCATAATGCCTTATTATCCATGCAGAGAGGTCAACCAGGAAGGAGTGAGTGATCCTTCCTGTTGTGTAGTGGAGATGTGTAAATCACAGGAAACACGATACAGAATTACAAATCCATTGGCAGGTATAACAGTAACCATACAGTATATGTATTTTGGCTGTATAGTAGTTCATGTAGAGTTCCACTCTAAAGGAAATTTGTGGGAAGAAAATCATGTACCCTGCCATTGTTAAGCTTTCCTTCTGAATATTCTACTTGCTTGGCTATCACTCTGAACCAATTGCTTCAGTAGGTTCTAAATCAACAACCTAAACAAGTATGCTGATCACCAGTTCTGACTTAGCTTTGGCTCCAAAAATGTTCTTTAGATATGTAAAAAGTAGAGATGGGTTGGAACCTCTACTGGGTTTTTAATTATCGTATGTGGCGCCATTGAACAGATTTGCCTCACTTTCTGCCATGGTGACACCACAGGAAAAAAGGGAAAACCTTGCAATGAGGGACACAGACAGCAACAAAAATATGATCGTCTTATTGTATCCAAAACTAAAACAGTTTTTGTAACTGTTAGTTGCTCTCATAACAGATGTACAAAATTCAATAATGCATATGTAGCACCCTGTAAGCAGGAGTGCTTAGTAAATTTAGTGTTGTCAGATTGTAATCAGTCTGATGCTGATCTATAGTGTATGCTCATTTGGTTTCCCCCTAAGCAATCTGTTATTGTTTGCATCTGCCTGCTGTTGGATGTATCCTTGCCACAGAGCAGAGCAACCAATAAGAGACTGTTATGAATATCTATGTCCCTGTGGCCAATCACTAGGAGGTTCACGGCCAGTGGCGCATGCTGGGAAAGGACATACATATTCGGGGCGGACCATGTGAGCTCTCTCTTCCTCCCCCGTGCCCTGCCTAGGACGACTTCTGATTAAAGTACTTCTCGGCCAGGTGCTCTAAGCACAGTATGCCACATTTGGCTTAAAGGACCTAGTCTGTGGAGGCAGAGGTTACTTTGCTCTAACACTTAAAGTGACATTAAAGGCAAAAAATGTTTTCCCTCCCCCCAATGTAAATGTTAGCACTTACCTTAAATGATGTCTCTTTTTCCGATCTTCCTCTTCTTTCCATCTGTCCCTCCAGCGGTGTGACGTCACTCCGATCCAGCGCTGACTGCTCTGTCTCTCCGATCCAGCGGTGTCTGCAGGCGGGTGCACGCGTCCATAGACTTACCTTGCGTCTCTGCTCGTCTCCCGGCCGAGAACCGGAACTGCGTATGCGCCCGCCCCAAGATCCTTTGCGGCCGTACGAGCAGTTCCTGATTCTCGGCACGGGAACGAGCGGCGATAACGAGGTAAGTTTTAAATGATTTTAAGCGTTTTGTTTTTTTTTACACTTCTTGCCTATATCTACTGCTTGCTAGCAGCAGATATAAGCAAAAAAAAAAAACGGAGGGTTTAGAACCCCTTTAAGGAGTCTACAACATCCTGGATGATCTTAGCCCTAAACCTCTTTCTGAAGCTCTATAATAAAGTTCCTTCATCATCATAACTACAGTTTGGATCTCGCTTTTATCGATCGCCACAGAGGGCGGTAAGTGCTATTGGGGCAGCCGGGTTGCTAAAATCCCTAGACAGGCCAAGAACCACATGTTCATCCAGCGGCTCCTTCGGAGGGGAGTGCTACACATACATATACAGTATGTATATGTACACAAAAAAAATTACTTTACTGGATAATAACCAAGAATGAAATAACTGAACAAACTTTGACAGCCTTGAGTAGGTCATTATAACGTAACTAACAACTGGTCAGTACACACTTTAAGATAACATTACAGTGATTACATTAAGGGGACCAGAGTGGTTTTATCCCAGAATCAAAGCAAGTACAGATTCCTACCATAAGTCCCAAATGTGATAAAAATTTAAGAGGACAATGTCTCCTCCCATATTAAACTTTCTCATAAGTGATAATCTGATATATTAACAACTTTCACTGGAATAGGTAAGTGGGACATGGGTTCATTCATCTAATAGCAATGACCTTATGAGCCATTAACAATTTTTCCTGCAGGAATAATATGGTGTAGACTGACCAGCGTTCTCCAATTAAACCAAAGAAGCACATTTTGGGCATACACAAAACTGGGAGACTTAGCAGGGTAGCAAGGAGAGTATTGAATTGCTTCCAGAAATCAGCTTTGGCAGGATAACAAATCAATTTGGGGATGGGTACAGTGTATACAAATATGGGTGATCATACGTCCCATTTGATATAAAACAGACTGGGGATAGATAGGTTCCGTGGATAATATACAGCTGGATTAACTGGTTGTTGATCGAATGTGATACACACATATGCACATGTCATGACAGGGTTGGGCATAAGAAGCTACTGTTTAGTTCCAACTGCAAGAGGAGACTTGTCCAGTTTGGTATGTAGTAAATAGGAGTATAGAGTAGAAACCAACCATTTAAGGCCCTGGGAGCTCAAAATGTCTATTAGGGGGTGGTTAGATATAGGCATTTTCTGCGTTCTAAATTGTGCCTTTAAGCCCCGACCAAGTTGTACAAATCTTTAAAGGAAAGAATGAGGCAACTTTTTTGTTGTTGTGTAAAGGAGTGCAAATCACCTTCATGGTGCACTTTTGATAAGGTGGCAATTCCATGAGATTTCCATAATGTACAGATAGGAATAGTTATAAAATAATTGTATTATGCCATCAAGATAAATCATTAGGCAGACCCTGAAAGGATACCAGTCGTTTAATTCCATTCTACATGAAGGTGGATAAGCTTTAGGACTAGTAAATGCAGTTTGTGAGGTAAGAGTTTAGGGTCTTCTAGATAACAGCCGTCTTATCCCCAGCACATGAGCCAATCCTCTGAAGTAAAAGGAACAGACCCATGGAAAACAAGCCATTTCAACTGCCCTGCAAAGTAATATAAAATAGGTCTGTGAGGGCCATTCCTGACTCTTCCTTCGGCCTCTGTAATGTAGTGAATTTTAATTTTGGTCTAATGGTGCCCAATACAAAAGCAGAAAACATAGAACTGAATTCTGTAAAAAAGGGTTTCGGTACGATCACAGGCAAGCGAGCAAGTATATACTGTAGCGGCACTCGGTAAGAATAATCATCTTAATTGGATTAAATTCCGTCTGCGGCAGGCAGAATAAAACAGTTTTTTAAATGAAGTTCTACTTCAACTAAGCCTTAAAATGGCAATTAAAAAGAAAAAAAAAACCCAAAACATTGTCACCTGCACACAATCAGATTATATTCACCAAAAACCTGATTCTCCACTTGCTCCAACTGCAATGCTGATTCTGCATAGTGCTCTGACTCAAGCACATAGTGTTTTTGTTCTTTAACGATGAAGATTGTATATTTAAGAAATCATACAGAGCAACAACAGTTTATAAATTAATTTATTTTTACAATATAATACAGAAATGTTGTTTGTTCTTCTTACCAGGATCATTGTGTGAGTGTGGAACTACATACACCTGAAGAGGCTCCGTCTCCCATTCATTAGGGTCATATGTGATGTCAAATCCTTGTTTCCAAACTCCTCCATCCACATTATCAAAAGGCAACTGTGTGTAAATATCCAGCATCTGAAGAAAAAAAAAGGTGTACATTGATTGATACAAAATAATAACATGTATAGTAAAATGGAGCAAAAGTAGCAATTTCAATATATATGTAGACTAGGAAAAAGACAAATAAACCCACTTTCAGGTATGCAAATCCAAAAAGGGGGGGCTTTAAAAAAAACTAATGCTCTCTCAATTTAATAAAAAGTAGAATCATTTATTAGAATATAAATTCATCAAAAGAATATTATCTTAAAAGACACAGTAGAAAAAAAGGTTTGGATTAATGAGACACAATACAATAGTATCGCAATACTTATACATTGTTGTTTTTAAAAGAGTGGAAGCACTGGTTCTTCTAAATTCCCCAACATGTTTCGCCCAATGGGGCTTCCTCAGGGGGATGTTTAAGTCCTGCAAGCTTGCGTGGACTAATCTGCCAATCGGTCAAAAGAAAATAGATGATGAAGGAAGAACCGACCAAACCCTGAATCCACAGGCAGACATCACATGGGAGGGTCATGTCTGGAGACAAAATGTAGCAGATACTTCCTACCAGGAAGTAGAGAGGAGTCCTCTGTTCCTGAAATTAACCAAAATAGTGGCTGCTGACATAGTCACTAGTGATGAGCATGGGCTTAGAGCGAACTCCGTTTGACTGAGTTCGCCCCAAGCCCACTCAAAACTTTGACCGCCAATCCCAACTCCTGACCTAATCAGTTGCAGAGAGACACATTCCCCACAGATAAACATCACAAAGGGGCAGGGAATGCCCCTGCCTAAAACTACTGCCACCGATTGGGCCAGGAGGGGTGAGTGGCAGTCACAGTTTTGAGCGGACTTGGGAAAGGCCTAGGCTCACCTCTCATTACTTAAAGGAAGTAATATCCTGTGCATTACAGGTCCCAGTATTCAGTGTACCAGAGGAAACTCCATCCTGCCCTCTCCCCATCTTTTTGTCCTCCCGTCTGTTAAAAGATCAGTGGACACGCTGAGGGGATTTAGCAGCATTCACACACTCACCATTCTAACTTAGCAGCTCTGAACAAAAGAGGGATATACCCTACTCTGGCATCACACTGTTGTGTTAAGCTGAATATACCCACTAAGCAAGCAAGATTGTATTAATGTTCAAGTTTCAACCAATCGGCTAACAGGTGAGTGGGATGAATAGAGGGGAGCACATTGCTTGAAAAATGAAAAAAAAAAACGAAAAAAAAACTGCCAACTAATCGATTATGAAAATCATCATTAGTTGCAGCCCTACTTAGGGTAACAAACTGAAAAATAATGTACATTTTAGAGTACTACAAAAAGGCCTTTTTCAGGGAAGAAGTAATGGGTTAGCAACTCACAGTTGTCCTGCAGCAATGTAAGTAAATTAAGCCTTGAAAGTTTGTGCTAACAATTCCTACAGGTGTCCCAACTTTTGTTGATTACTCAAAAGCCCTCTGTCTGTATTTAAGCAGTGTTGGTACAGACTGTTACTACACCCTCTTAAGCAATATTTGGACAGTATTGTCCCACAGGAAGTAGTATATTGCTCTAAAAATTGCAAGAAAAAGGCAATTAAAGTAAGGCAGACAGTCCATTATAACCCGTAAAAGTGTAGGTCTTACCTTTAGGAGAAACTAAAGAAAGCCAAGCTGTCAGTGAGTACAGTTTCCTACACCATCAAAAGGCACTTGGAAACTGGAGGAAACTGTGACAGAAAGAGGTCTGGCAGACCTAAAGTCACAACAGAATCAAAAGACAAGTTTCTGAGTGTCAACAGCTTGCGTGATAGGCGGCTCACAGGACAATAGCTTCAAGCGCAGCTCAACACAGATCGAAGTAAGCAAGTCTCAGTTTCAACTGTGAAGAGAAGACTTCGAGCTGCAGGTTTGACAGGTCAAGTGTCAGTAAGAAAACCATTGCTAAGATGGCAAAATAATAAAAAGAGGCTTTCCTGGGCCATAAAGCACCACCAGTGTACTACTGAAGACTGGAAGGTCTTATGGAAAGATCAAAATTTAAGATCTTCAGTTCATCATGCAGGATTTTTGTATGCTGTCGAGTAGGCGATAGGATGGTTCCTCGATGTGTGACACCAACGGTCAAACATGGAGAAGAAAGCATGATGGTCTGGGGCTCTTTTGCTGGATCCAGAGTCAGCCACTTGCACAGAGTGAGTGGCATCCTGATCCAAAACTTCTACCACGGCATATTGCAGAGCCATGCAATACCCTCTGGTGTGCACCTAGTTGGTCAGGGGTTCATCCTACAGAAAGATAATGACCCAAAACATACCTCCAGGATGTGTCAGACCTGAGACGGTAGGCTTCAAATCATGGAATGTCCAGCACAGTCTCCAGACTTAAACCCCAACGAGCTTGTTTGGGAAGAACAAGACAGAAGGATGAAAGCTAAGCAACCTACAAGTGCAACACATTAGTGGGAACTTCTGCAACAGTGTGGAGAAGAACTTTCTGAACAATATTTGATTTCCATTGTAGAAAGAATGCCACGAGTGTGTTCGGCTGTTAGATCTGCAAAAAGTGGCTACTTTGATGAGTCAACAATTTAGATTACAATTTGGTTAAGAAAACGATTACCTGATTTCTTTTGGATTTCCAATTGTTTATTTGTTCTACACTTTATTTATGCTATGTGTTCTAAATCTTTTGACCAGTAGTGTATATACAGTATCTAGTTTTACAAGGAGTAGAGATAACTAAACTAATACACCATATAAAGCATCCAAAAGGTTTCCCATCCAATTATGGAGCCACAAGTGGCCTAGGATGTCTCTCAATAGATATTGAGATCCTTAATTTAAGAGAAGTCTTAATGATTGTTAAAATAGGGGAGTGGGCAACTATACGGCAGATGAGGTTTAAGGTTGAAAAATTTAATGAAATGCATTTTGGGGTTAAAAATAGGCAGGACCACTAGGGAATCATGGAAAAAGATTTGGGGGTCATAGTACACCACAGATTGAACAATAGCTTGCAATGCCAGGCTGCAGCAAACAAAGCGAGCACAGCACTGTCTCGTATTAAAAAGGGAATGTACTGTAGAGACAAAGAAATAATTTTGCCACTTTATAGATCACTGGTTCAGCCTCATCTGGAGTATGCGGTCCAGTTTTGGTCACCAATCCACAGAAAAGATGTCATTGAGAGTCCAGAGAAGGGCAACTAAACTAATTAAGGGGCTGGAGGACAAAAGCTACGAGACAAGTTTAGTAAATTTAAACTTGTTCACGCTGGAAGTGAGGAGATTAAGAGGGGACATGATTTTGATGTACAAAATGTTTAGTGGTGATGGCAGCATCAGCAATAAACTGTTCACAGTAAACTCCATAACAAAGACTAGAGGCCACCACCTAAATCTGGTGGAGAAAAGATTTAACCAGAAGAGGCGTAGGGGCTTTTTTTCTGTTAGAGCGGTTAAAGTCTGGAACTCGCTGCCACAAGCAATGGTATCAGCTGAGAGTATTGAATCATTCAAAAAGCATTTAGATACCTTCCTCAGAGACCGTAACATACAGGGGTACAAGGAACCTTTAAAAACAAGGTCACAACAAGGTCACAGGGACTCGTGTACACACATACACAAATCACACACAGACACACAAAAGGTTGAACTTGATGGACCTGTATCTTTATTCAACCTCAAATACTATGTAACTATGATTATTCACACATCATAGGATATACATTGTTAACACCACTCCTTAAACAGTAATTGCACATTTGCCAGATTGAATCTCGTTTAATGTTCCTTGTAGATGCTCTGTATGGTATAAATGGTTGTAAAGAGATAATATGAAAAAAAAAAAAAATCACAATGTCCCCCTTATATACAGTGCATGGCGTATTATCATGCAGCATCTCTATAGGCAATATATCAAATACAAATAACTGGGGTCAGGAGACATCTATGATATATTGTATTTGCAATATTGACGGTATCCTCAATGTGCCACATCTCCTCACATATAATCCTTTCATGTTGCTCCAATGGAGGTGTTGTAACCATCCTGGAAATATTTGTGCTGCTCATAAGGGACTGGTATTTTTGCCAGAAGGCAGAACCCTTGCAATGAGTGAAGTGACCTGATATCTGTAAGGTTAGTCCTACAGACAAGACAAACAAGTGCCGTTCAGAGCCTCAGACAAGAGACTGAGGGCAGTGATGTTCTCCTAATAAGCAGCATCTTTGTAACAGTTCCCAGTGCAGCTTTGTTGGCTTATCAGAAAAGTACTGTGCTCTATTAATTGCTTAGTACACAACGCAGCAGATGTAATAGATCATGGTAACCAAACATAAGCTTTTGCTACCAAGATTATAGTAAGCTGCTGAAACCTCACTATTGGATATGGAAAATAAGGCTCAATTCTCTCCGCTACAATAAAACATTTCTGTGGTTTATGTCTCTGTATTAAAGGCCTCCATGTTTTTTATTCCCTCCCTTTGCTTATTTATTTAATATGGAGAGGGTGAGTTTGTTATAAAGAAAGGACACTAAAAAGTGCCCATAGATAAGCTCCATCTGCACTACACTCCACAAGAAGATCCAGAAGGCCAGATGACACTGATGTTGGGACTTTGATGAAGTATGCCACTGTATGTTAAAATAAGGAAGGTCACTGGCAAACAGATGCCCCCTGCTTAAAGTGAAATTTTCACAAAAAGGCAAGGTCTTCTTATGACCATGTATCCTCACCTACATCTAAAAATCATCACATTAATGCTGTACAAAAAAACAACAAAAAAACCACACACACACAATCACAGGGAAGGTGAAAGGTTCTGCCTGGAGCTATACTTAAACAAGATTATGTGCAACTGCAAGGAAGTTAGTGGAGATAAAATTCTGCTTCTCCTTTGGTGCCGCTCAATCTATGGAGAAACTGGTGAAGATTCTATAATTAGTGATCATCTTTTACCTATACAGCATTAGCATATTCCACTGTGCTTTACACACTTAGGAAAACTATAAAGATATAATAAACAACATTGTAACAGACAATGCTATAGGTGGTAGGGTCTACCTACTGGAGCTTTTAAACCAAGAGAAACCTATATGTCCAAATCATTCACATCTTTCTTGTTTAAAACAAACAATGATTGACTGAACATTTGGAATGGGCTCTTGTAAAGCTGTGGAAGATCATTGTATACTTGATCTCATACCTAACTCACTGGAAAATGGCCAGTAATCAGAAACAAAACTAGTACTTTCTAATGGCGAACACTGCAACAGCAAGAATGAATGATATATTTCCTAACTTAAGAAAAAGTACTGTTTTCTTACCTGTAAATCTGTTTTCTTGCCTTTACTTGAAACAGCAAACTGACAGTCCTGGGGTGATATAGAGTAGAAGCTGGGCCGAGGGTCTGGTGGAATGACCCAACTCCCATTTGGCGTGTGATACGGGATCAGGATTGGTTGTCCATCTGCATTTGCTGTTAACTCTAGGACAGAATCCTTAATGTGACTAATGATTTCATGGTTCTCCTCCAAGAGCTGCTCGAGTTGCTCTATCCGGTTCTGCAGGACAGAAATCTGGCTCTATATTTGGGGAAAACAGGCAAAGTGTTTTAATACTTCTAACGGATAACTGCAGCCAATATCCTGGATGTGGTAAAACTACAAATCCCATCTCTGGAAGTCATGTCTGTGGCAGTCAGAGTCTCGAAATAGTTGGTGGAATTTCTAATTTCACCACAGCTGGGGGCCTGAAGTTTGGCTACCCCTGCCCTACATGATGGCAAACTAATTCCTAAAGGCTGACTGAAAAAGGCTGAGCAATAAGAAATGGACCCTTCACCTGTTGCTTTTACCAACAGATAATGATGCAATAGCAGACATTAGGTTTTAGATTTTGTATCTGTCATCATATCTTAATCTTCTATGACTCAGAAGGCTACTGCTATTTCCTTTTTCCCACAACTCTCACCTCCCAATTTCAGTTGCCTGTGGACATATTACAAGACAAATTTCATGATGTGCCAGCACCTATAATTTTTCTATAATGTCAGTTTAGATAAAGGAGTCTTTTGGAACAATAAAAAAAAGTTTTTTTCTCTGACCCAATAAATCTAGTACTCCTAATACCTGGCATTACCCATTTCCACGCCACTGCCACTCTATTCCCTTGAACCCTAGCTGAACCTGCAGTGCTGTGACCAGCACCTGTTTGGTTTAAATTGCATACTGTATTTAAAAGGTCAATTATAGCCTCAAGTGCAAGAGTGTAAAAGTAACTGCATTGCTCATATAAATCATTTAGCTTCTTCACATTTTCCTAATATTTTTTTGGACTCTTGAGGCACAATTATTATTGTGGCATCTGCACGAAAAGAAAAATAAACCCCCAAAAAACAAACCCATCAAGCACTATAAGTTATCAAATGGTACCTTCTGCTCGTTAATCTCCCTTTTCTCCACTGCAAGTTTACTTTCTTCAACTACCTTGAGAGTGAGCTATCATCGGCCGCAGAGCTGACATGAGGGTGCCTGACAATCCCAAGTTAAATATGACACCTTATGGTACCTTCTGTGCAATCACAGTAGAGGGTCTCAATGTCTGCTGTCCGTAGGAAAACCGTTGCCCTCCATGAATACAATCTCTTTTTTTATCTATCAACGGTTTACTAGTTTCCAACAATAAATGTATTCTGGAATACTATTAAAACGTCTTTAAAAAATACACCATTGTTTTAAAAAGAATGTAATTTATGTACAGTGGCTCTGTAATGCCCTATTGAAAAACATTCAGCAGCCAAACCCTGCTTTATGGAAGCAATTTCTCTTTGAAAGACTTCGTGCAATGCTGCAGTAAAACATTTACTGTCGTCCAACAACACCCTACATGAAATCTTAATTGCTATATCAAGTATGAAACTTGAGCATCGAGCTTCTCTTGATGTACAGTAAGAAAAGAGGTCAGGCAGAGGTGTATGGGAAAACAGGCATTATGTAAGAGAAAGCACACATCACCGCAGAAAATGTGTCACTGCTCCATAGAAATGAAATATGGAGATTAGACGCTGTTTTAAGTGGAAATAGTGAAGGTCACAAATGCATCATTCCAAAAGCTTGCCCAGGCTTTTACATTGATGCTATGAGGCAAATGTAATTATACAGAGTTCCAAATCCATGCCACAGTGTAAATATTTTATAGCTGTATCATGCAGAATATATAAATAGGCACTTTCATAGGAGGAGGGCACTTTAGGAGATTCTGAAAAACTATCCCTGCCATAGCTCAATAACCAACTGACCTTCATTCCTTCTCTAAAAGTCCTTCATGCAATCACGTGGTAACATTTAATGGCTAAGCATTGATAACATCTTTTCGTACCCTGGGAAAGTTGCCTCCGTTCTGTCTCCTGGGAGGGTCGTGTTGCACCTTGTCCAGCATAAGATACAAAGAGAAGACGGCCACGCAAAAGATGGCCGCTCCACACACAGTAACCTGCTTCTTCAGTTTCATCCCTGGGAGCTCGAGGAACAGACCTGAAATAAATCACAATAACAGGAGATGTGTGAAGAAAACCTTTTCAGCTGCATCTTTTTTCATAAAACCTTAGCTATTCAAAGGCAGAAACTCTAGTTGATCTGCAGTGAATTCAGCTCCATTTAAAGTGCTCCTGTCACCTACAGAAAATAGACAGCCATTTTGTGGGCTGGACCAGTATTGATAAGGTCTCTGGCGATGCTTTTGAAAGACTAAATGAACAACCCGTTTCACAAGAGAGCATGAAGGCGTTTGGTGAAGAATTGTAATGGGAATCAGTAACTGTAGCTAATTTTGTTCTAGCTTTGGATAGAGTGGAGAGTGATTAGAACACCTATCAGGTTTTTATTTGTGTCTGTGTCCCCATTAAGGAAATTCACCCTCTCTATTTGTCCTGGTGACTGTTATCACTGAAATGGAGTATAAAAAAAATCTCAAATTGTGGGTTGTCATCAGAACATGGATAGATGTGAAATCTTCCAATTGCAACACTAGTTCTGGTGACCCTGATGACCACCAGGGATTTCTCTCTTTTTGGATGGATTTCCTCTTATTTCTTGTTGTGGCTATTGGACAGGAAGTGATTGGAAATCTCTCCAAATGGAAACAGAAAAAAAAGCTGATAGGGGTTATAACCCTCCCTTACTCTATGCAGAGAAAAAAAAGGCTCCAGGTTTACTTTAATTTTGAGTAAGCTTGTATGTCTAGTCATTAGTACAGAGCATGTACTGGGCATTCTGTGCTCCTCTGGGCAAAAAAGAGAAAATGAAAACACTAGACAATTCAATAGGCTATAGCAATCATTATTTGCAATGAAGACAGCTATTTTCAGCAATAAGAGCTGAAACCAGCATGGCTTAAGGTAACTATATTCATGTCAAATAACATATGCATTATAGCTTAGTAAATTGAGCCTTTTGTCTTTCAATCCATGTAAAGTCCAAGTTTTCATTGTGATGGTGAAACTAATTTCACAGTGCTTGAAAGTCTAGTTTCCTTAAGATGCTTAGTTACAGAACAAAAACAAAACAAACTGATACATCACCAATACTTATATAATCCCTATAACACTAAGGGATCCATTTCTAAAAAACATTGCACAGTAAATGGCAGCGATAGCCAAATTGCCTTTACATTTGTTCTATGGTAATTAACCAGCTGGTGCGAAAATGTGGCAACATTGAATGTTCTTAGTGTTCCATCTTTTCTGGTTGAATGTTCTTCAATAGGTTGATTAATACGGAAAAGAGTGAATGAGAAAAATACCGTATTATGGACACATGATGGAGCTGAGGTTTATAGACAACAATTACATGTTAGTAACAACATACAATTCAAATAAGATGTTGGAGAGCATGAGTATATAAATATAACCATTACTATCCACGTAGTATCAATGGTTACAGTTACATGCTCATTCTCTCACCCCTGGTGGAGGCAGGTGAGCGTCCATGTCCGAGGCCAGAAGTGCCTTAGAAAAGAAGCTTTGCGGGACTGGTTGTAGAGCAGGAGGGAGCCTGGCGAAGCGAGGAGTAAGGTATTACTCCTTATGCCTCTACCCCTAAACTTAACAAGCATTTAACCCTTGAACTGCGGGAGGGGGGCACTGCAAGCATAGTTTTTTCTTGTGTCCCTGGAGCTGGGCTTCAAGGCTCTATTTCACACACAGCATTTTGAATTCAGTGTGGTTTTCTGTGCGGCATGAAACCACGCACATTGTAACATACACAAGGTTTCTGCACATTTATGGCTACTAATATAGCTGGAATGTATGGAAGTTGCCAAGAATATCGCACTTGTACTTTTTTGCGCAATGCGTGTGTTCCTGCTGTGAGGGCGACGCACAGGTGTGAACAAGCTACATCAGAATCTATTTGTTATGTTTTGTGCGGAAAACTGCTAATGTGTGAATGGAGCCCAACGGAGGCTGTACTTTCATGGCATCAAGCAAGTATGCTGGTAAACTTCCATCTGAACCTTGGCATAAAGCTTTGCTTTGAGATCAGCGTTTCCCATTGCCAGTGTAGTTTTGTCTTCTTTTAGACTGTTCCTCCTGACACATTAAAGGAGAACTATGAGATGAGTGATTTCCACTCACCTCATAGTTCTAGCCGACCTGTGACAATGAGACTGTCACAGGTCGGCTCAGTAGATCGGGAGGTGAGTGAACACATACCAGGTTCGCTCACCTCTCGATCCTGTCACGGCTCTCTGCCGTGACAGGGGGAGGGGCTGGATTCCCCTCTCCCCGCTCTGCCAACGCTGACTGGCGGAACGGACGGGGGAGGGGGCGGGTACAGCTGGCTCTGCCTCTAGATAGGCAGAGCCAGCTGTCACTCACGCAGCTGGGCGGATCCAGTCATCTACATCGGGATCCGCTCAGGCTGCGGCGTCTCAGTATACCGCGAGCTGTAGCTCGTGGTATACTGAGCTTAGGGTAACGGGAGGACGCTAGTTTGTGTCCTCCCGTTACCCTAAGGAGAACTATGGGGAAAAACACTGACCCCATAGTTCTCCTTTAAATCATGATGCACATGCAGTGTGGGTATCAGCTATTTCTTCTCTTTGGAAGAAATATACGGTCAACCATTTTAAGGTTAACATTTGTCACCGTTTAGGATAGGGATTTAGTTACCATAAATGTAAAATCCATTTTCATGTGTTGCATATACAATGTTACCATTTTCTATTAAGTCTTGCATCTCAAAGTTTTTTTTTTCTGTTTTATTTAGCCATCAAAATATATAATTTTGACAATACATTAGCCCTTTTTACTACTCGAAGTATTTGCCATTACAGTGGGAAGTGGGTGGGAAGGATTAAGTGCACAGATTATAATATTTTTTGTTGGATTTTGCTCTTTTGTTCTGTGTGCTGTGTAAGATGAAAAACTGCATGACAAGTAAATTGAAGTCATCTTTTAAAACAAAAATGTACTTACCCCATTACCTACAGCCAGTTATGTATACAGAGATATTTGTAAATGTGACTAAAAGTGAGCCTGTGCTTTACCTGAGCAGGGCATAGCTATGGGATGAAAGCACCCAAAGACAAAATTCCTTTCCTTATTCTGTTCACCTGGAAAAGTGAAATACCTGGTAATTCCGGGTATGGGGGGAAGGTAACTCCCATGTGGCAATGCTGGTGCTTTGTGACTGGTCACTCAGACACCCAGTATAGTTACATGGGGAAATTCCTCAGTCCTACACAAGTTCCAAGTCACGACTTCCCATCAAATGTAGAGCTGAGCTGCCCCCTCCTAACTTCCTGTAACTCATTAAAGGGTAATTGTGGTCAAAGCTAAAAATAATGATGTATTGCTATATTGAATTTCCATAAATTCTATCCTGCTCCTAAGAACCATATTGATCTAGACGTTTATAAACTTACTTATTAAAAATGCCCATAGGATGTACTTCCTCAATGTATTATGGACACATAAATATAACCATTACTATCCTCATAGTATCAATGGTTACAGTTACACGCTCATTCCCTCCCCTCTGGCAGAGGCAGGTGAGCGTCTGTGGCTATACTTATTGAAGATGCCCATAGGATGTACTTCTTTAACAATCGTTTGGTGTTTGACACCAAACATGTCAAGCCTTAAAATTGCGCGCACCCGCGAAATCTCAAAAACTACCATACCAAAAATTGACCATATACAACGCTTTAAAAGCTTTTACCGCTCATCAATTTAGTGTGATCAGTGACAAATGGCGTAATGAGCACGATCGTCGTTTTCACATGTATGCGCACCCGACGCATGTTTGTACGCATGTATGTATTGTTGGGGACTTCAAAAAATGTAGCATTTTTAAAAAATTCTTTTTCATGTGTGACTTTAATTTTTTTTTCAACTTTAATATTTTTTTCCTATGTTTTTTTCCCCACTTAACGTTATTGTTAATCACATAGGGGGATAAGAAACCCTCTATGTGATAGCAAAGAGGATGTGGCAGGTCCTCTTTATGGAGACATCAGGAATCTCCAAGACCCCCTGTCACCTAGGGACCCCCAAAGAAGATGCTGAAGCTGGAGAGTGACACAAGAATTCGGAAGTGATGTAATATACGTCACTTCCGCATTCTGACACCGGAGAGTGGATGGAGTGAGATTGTGTACCGATCTCCCTCTGATCCCCTGTCACAGAGCCCATGCCGGTCCCGGGCACAGAGGAGCTTGGGACCAGCGGAAAGGGGGCTGTGGAGGGGGTGCACACCGATCGGCGCCTTATACAAGCGATCCGGCGGATCGCCTGTATGTAAACAGGCATCACTGCCTGTTTTAAAATTTGGCCAATTTCCCGCTCACGCACGAGAGTGGACGGGGCCAACAGGACGTCTTTGACGGCCGGTTACATCCAGGAAGGTGCCGGCCATTTAATAACAATGGCCTGCAGGCGGTTAAAGTGGACATTTGCCCCCTTTGACTAAAAAAATCACATCAGCATACAGATCTGCATGCTGATATTAAATCTTTAATTCATTAGCTAAACACGTTTATTTTACTTCCAATTTCTTTTCTTACACTTCCTGGTCCACTTTGGCACAAATGATGTAATCGTGCCCATGCATTGAATCCTGGGAAGGTTACATCAGCAGAGCATTGCTGGGAAATCTCATGAGATCTCAGGGAAAGGCATTTTCTTGCCCTGAAATAATGTCCCTGGTCACACGTCCCAGTCACATGTTTCAGACTTCCAGGAGGTAAAGCGAGAGCTAGTAACCTGCCCTTAGTTAAAATGGCTACTGTGAGAAGAATGGGGAAGGGGGTGGGGGGAAACAAAAGGATGCAAAAAATAAAAAGCCGGCAATTATATATAAGTGTCTGTTTGTAGATTGTCATTACTAAACATTTCTAAAAGGTGCCTTTGTTGTTATTTTGAAGATATGGGTAAAGTTCCGCTTTAATGGTCACCAACACTGTGCATCACATTGAAGGACCAAGGGTGAATCTAAGGCATGCATACCCTGCTCATTGAACGGTCAATGTCAAA